GCGCCGCCGAGGCGGGCGCCGCCGAGGCGGCCGTTCGCCGTCGAGAAACGGGCCGGCGCGCGTTTTGGAGCGCCTGCGCGCACCAGCACGCCGCTAGGAACCAGCTCGCGTGGGTCATCGCGTCGGAGGTCCAGGGGTTTCAGGGGAGGGGTCAAGCCAAGGCGCCTAGGCCTTCGCCGTCTTTTGGCGAAGTTTGGGTCCCGAACGTTTTTGACCAAGTTCCATTTGTTCCACCCGGTTTCAGGTTTGTCGCCGCCCTAGCTGTTCCATGTGTTGCTTCTGCTGCTGCCCTGTGGTGACGCCGTGGGGCGAGGACGAGGAGAGCCGCGTCTACGTGTTGAACGACGGCACGCTGACGGTCTCGACGAGATCGTTTAGCTCCAGTCACATGTCAATGCAAGAGGAGACCAAGAGCGACATGGGCTCGCCGGCGAGCATAGCCAGGCCGCCGCAGAGCCCCGCCGCCCACCACTAGACGCCACCGCCGCTCGGCCCGCGCACGCCGCGCATACGCGGGCCCGTCGAATACTTTTACGTCTCTCCGGCGCGCGGCTCCGCGCGCTCGGCGCGCGGCGGCGCGACGGAGATCGCGGACCGGTCCGACGACGAGGCGCGCGTCGACTTTTCGCCGGGGCAGTCGCGCTCCGCGCGGTCCCAACAATCCTGTTCCGTCTCGCTCGCCGCCCGATCGCCTCTCAAGCACCCCGCCGACAGCACCACATCATGATCGGACCATCACCCATGAGAGCGAGGCGCAACGGCCGCCCAGTGGAGCCGCGGGCGACCTATCCGAGGCGATGCACATCAGACGACCCAGCGACGCCGTCGCGCAGTCTCGAGGTGACCCTTTGGCAAGGCGCCGAATGCAAATGGGCACGTCCCATGCAGGGGTGTCTAAGCAACTTATTTGTCCCACAGCCTCTTTGCGAGCATCGTCGTTGGGCTCTTCTGCAGCGATCCCTCTGTTGAAGCAGATCAGTCTATTGACATTGGGAGATTCCGATCAGTCTATTGACATTGGAAGATTGAGATTGACAGCCTATTCAATGTGGCGACTTCCGAGGACCGGCGTGCCTTGCCGGCGTGCCTCGGAGGGCGTGTGTGCCGGGGTGCCTTGGAGGGCGTGCGCGCGTAGCAGACAGGCGACTGGCATCTCGAACGGGAACGTGCATCATCGCATCTCCACGACACGCGTCGTGTCAACCTTCCCTCTGAGCTGGCTGCCTGCTCACACACCTTACGCCGCTCCTCCAGGGCCGTTTCCCCGGCAAAGTCGGCACCCGAAACTCTTGGGCCCGAACGAAACCCTCGTCGGAAGGTCCGAACATCAAAGTTTCCGATTGCTAAAAATCTCAGAAGTCTCCTCCCGGACCGACCCCGCGACCCCGCAAGATGCGCTTCCTCTGTCCGCTCTGCCCTCGGCTGCTGGCTGTGCTGGACCCGCGGCAGATCTTCGCGCCGCCAAAGGAGGAAAACGCCGACGAGGTTTACGTCCTTCGCGACGAAATTTACGTCCGCGTCCGCCGCAACTCTTCACGGTCCGTCTGCGAGGACCCGAAAGGCGAAGGCACGCCCACCGCGCGCGGATCGTGCATGGACGAGGCCAATGCCGAGTCGCCGATCAGAGAAGGCCATGACCATGACGCCCACAGGATGGTCCCCATCCGAGAAGGCCTCGAACATGATTGCCGCGACTAACATGACTGCACCGACGAGCCGACCGCCCCATGAAGCATGACCGCACCGACTCGCAGCCCCATGAACGCGGCCCTTTTTAACAATCTCCTTTATGAGCATCATCCCGGGCCCGGCCCGCCGAGTCCTTTTCTGCGTCGGAGGGGCCTCACCGACTAGCCGACCGCCCCATGGAAGCGGAGCATGACCGCACCGACGTCACCGCCCAACGCCGGCATGCAAATTTAAACAATCTCCTTTATGAGCATCCCGGGGCGGCCGCCGGGTCCTTTTCCTGCGTCGCCAAAAGGCCTCACGCGCCGCCTTTGGGGTCGACGGGCGGGCGTCCGTCGGCCCGCGGGTGGACGCGCGCGCGCGGCGATTCGTCGAGGGAGTCGCGTTCGACCCGCGGAATGAGTAAGGCTTGACGGGCAGCAACTAGCCAAGCAGAATTCATCGCGCGCGCGCGCGGCGTCGCGGTTCCGTCTGCAGCCTCGCCGTCGCGGGCCCGGCGGGCGTCCTCCAAAAGCTGCAGCCGCTGATCTTCCGTAACGTCGCCGCGCACGGCGCAGCGCACGGCTAAACGCGCTGTCTCCAGGTCCGCGCTCCTGTTCAGCTCGTTTAAAGCTTCAAAGCCGACGTCCAAGTTTTGGCCGTGGCGCATAAACGGGGCGTCTCCCGTCGGGTTGTTTTCGGAATCGCCGCGCCATAGGTCGCACCATCTGCGGTGCCCCGCCGCCGCCACCACCACCACGGCAATGTCCACGGCGACCTCTCTCGCGCGCTCCGCCGCTCCCGCGCGAACCACGCCGCCGACGGCGGCGGCGCGCCTCGGCCCGTCGTCTAAAGCGGCCTGGACGTCCCGCAAAGCCGCCGCCGCCGCGTCGAGCCATGCTGCGCGCTTCTCCGCATGCTGCGCCTCTTCTAAAGCGGAGAGGGGCCCGTCCGAGGCGCCGTCGTCAGCGTTTGCGAGGAGCCATTCCTTGTGGATAATTCCAAGTTGCCCCTCTCTCCCGAGATCCGGCCTGAGAGCCAGCGAGATGGCCAGTTCGGCGGCGCGGTAGTTCTCCGAAGTGTTCTCGCTGTTCTTCAGCTGGGAGAAGGGCACGTTGATGTTCTCCCCATGCTTCATTCGGGGCTCGGCGCCACTCGGGTTGCGTACGTCAACCGCCCACGCAGCACGCCAACGCTCGTGCCCAGCCGCCGAGCACCGAGCCACCGTGCGAGCCACCGCCTCGGCCAGAGCGCCCTCGCTCAGGTCGCCCGATGCGCCGAGAGTCACGACGTCGTCGTTGCTTTTGCGCCGCGGGGCCGCCGGCACAACCGAAGCCCTCGGCGGGGCTCTCGCCCTCTCGCTTTCTCGAGCGGCCTTTGCCGCGTCGTCGGACTTTCGGCGCGCGAGGGTGGCGGCGTGCTCTTGATGGCGCACGGCGGACATGCGCTTGACCAGCCGCCGGAGTTCCGCGTTCGACGCAAGCAGTTGGGCAGCGCCGCTCAAAGACTTGCGCCGCTTCTGCTTCTCCGTGAAGACGTGCAGCACGTCGGCCGTCATTTGGGCTAACACTTCGGCTTTTGCGGCGCAGAAGACGGTTGCAGAGGGCTTTAATTTCATTTCTTGAGTAAGCGTCTTTAAAGCGCGGTTCGTCAGCGGCACCTGCTGCGGCGCCGAGGCCCCGACAAACTTGACCTGGATCGCCCGCGCCTCGGCGGCCTGGTCCTTTAAAGCGCGGTCCGACGACGAGCGTAAGAGGCAGCGTTTGCGGTACGCTTCGGCTTCGCAGCAAAAGTTCAAATTCTCCTCTGCAAATCGCTCGCACATGAACTTTGTAAAGTCGCACAAGTCCTCCGGCGACGCCAAAATGTCGACCATGGCCCCCTGCATGGCTTTTTTGTCAGACCTATGGCTTTTTTGTCAGACCTAGTTTCCATCCGCTTCCGAAGACGCTTCCGCGAGAAAACGACCGACAAACGCCCGGGGGGGCGACCGCGCAGCGGGACCGCCGGAGCGGGACCGCCGCAGCGGGGCCCAAAGGAGGCGCCCGGCCTCGCGCCGCCTCGCACTAAAGGCCCCGCCGCTTTTCCGTCTCTCGTCTCCTCTCGCCGCCTCGACGCTTTCGGCGCCGCGCCTCACCAGTTGATGGGCAGGAGGCTGGGCCGCTTGAGCTGGGAGACGAGGGCGGCCTTGCCGAGGCCCTTGTCTTCCGCGCGGGCGCCAAAGTTGAAGAAATTGGGCCGCGGGGGCGCTTTGACTACCGTTTCCGGCGCCGAACCGGGCCGCGCCGGCCCCGCGGCCGGCGATGCGGCGAGACGCGGCTCCTTCGTCACGGCGCCGCCCATTCCCGCGACGCGCCCGCCGAGCGTCGCCCAGTAGGCTAGTAGTAGTAGGGTTTCCTTTCGTTAGCCAGACGTCACGGTTTCTCGAGATTTCGAACGAAAATTCGCAAACGCACCTCATGTTTCAGTTGACTTTTTCACATCGGTGTCATTTTTGAGGACCCGAAGGGTCCTTGCCGTTTATTCAACGTCAGTTTACGGCAAGGGCCCTTCGGGTCCTTTGATTGAAGGATTACCAGGGGCAATTATGTCTGTCTGTCCGTTTGTCCGTTTGTCTGTTTGTCCGTCCGTCGCCGGGTCCATCCGTGAGGTTCCACCTTTGGGAAGAAAAAAACAGCAACTCGGCCGATTTAGCGATTGGTGGTTGATGCGATCGCTAAAATTGGGAGTTGAGGTCGAGCAGGAGCCTCATTGGAATCATCATAGAAGAAGTTTTTGGTCACAGGTTCGAATCTGGTCGGCCGCAAAAAAAAGAAAAAATAAATAGCTCAATAAGAAATAAAATAATAAAAATAAAGATAAGGAGGATTTGAAAGTTCAGCGATTAGTT